TAGAATTTTGCACATTTCTCTCCGATGCTTTTCTACTCTGCATCTAGGTCTGTCTCCACACCAGTCCAATACGTACCTGTGACGCCCTTGAAGAATAGGACCAGAACTACTTCCAGTATCCACCCCCAGAGACACCAGTTTAACCTTTTCTCCCAAGTGTATAGCTCTCAACATCTGAAGCAGCAAATTTTTTGAAATAATGCAGACAGCCTTTGGGCCCAGCTCTCCCATTGATAACATTTTGTAAAATTATAGTACAATGTCACAACCATGATATTTACATTGATACAAGTTTTATTGCATTCATTTGTGGGTGAGAGTGTATGCTTTAAGTTCCATACATTGTGGGTGAGAGTGTATGCTTTAAGTTCCATACATTGGTATCACTTGTATTTACCACCACAGTCAAGATAGTTAACACTTCCAACACCACAAAAACCCTTACTGATGCTTTTTTAAAGCCACTCTCCCCCCTCTCCACACCCAGTCCCCTGGTTGTTAGGTGCCATCTTGTCTATTCCAACCCATGGTGACCACATTCAATTTCTGGCAACCCGTAATCTGTCCTCCATTTCAAAATTTTGTTATTTCAGAAATGTTATATAAATGAAACGATGCAGTGTATAAGCTTCGAGGACTGGCTTCTTTTGAACAGCATAATTCAGCCAGTGGTTGCCCCTTCTTTTGTCTGAGTGGTAGGTGGTTTCAAACTGCTGACTTTGCAGTTAGCAGTCCAATGCATAATCACTATATGAACAGGAAATCATGTGGGCAGTTCTACTTTCTTAGAGAGGGTGCCTATGAGTGGAAGGGCATGGGTTTTTGGTTTAGTATTTTATGGTATGTATATTCTTGGTTTGTTTAATCATTCACCTGTTAAAGATCTCTAGATTGGTTCCAAATTTTAGCTCTTACAACTAAAGTTGCAATAAATATCTGTCGACAAGTTTTCTGTGAGCATAGATTTCATCTCTCTGAAATTAATGGTCAGAAGTGCAATTACTGGGTCATGCGTAGTTTCGTGTTCTGAGTAGCTGTTCTCACCAGCAATGTCAATGAGCAGTTCACTAACAGTTGGTATTGCCAGTTTTTGCTCAACATGAACCGTTCTTATAGGTATATAGCATGAAGCAGCTTTTTCAAGGTTCTTTATAACATACTTATTATAACATTCTCCACTCCACATGAGGAAGAGCTGGCCATCGGCAACTTACCAGCTACTGTGTGGGTGAGATGTGGTTGTTTCCATAAAGATTACAGCCCAGGATCTCCTAGTTCTGCCCTGTCAAGTAGAGTGAGTCAGAATCCACTTGAGGGCACAAAACAACAGCAACAATAACAACAAAACTTACTTCTCTTAAGAAAACCAATCTACATTTCTATCACCAAGAATACTGTGCTGGGTGACCCACCATTGATTTGCCAACTCACCTTGCCTTAATGTAAGTCAAAGGAGCCGTTCAAGTGACTTCTCTGCACCAGCTGGACTACTTAGGAGAGACTGGTATTTTGATGAGTGTGTTTAATGAGGTGATCTCCTACCAAAGTACTAACAGGAGAGGGTCTGTTTCTAAGCACAAGTTTAAAATTCTACCAAAAGCTTCATTTAATTGCATGTAAGGGAAGCATGCTGTGATTAAACATTTTACGTAGAAACAAAAATGACTCTCAACCTCTTTTATTGTGCATCCAAGACTGCTCCTCTCCACACAGTGGAGAAGTGAGGGAGGATGGAATCAATTTGCTGGCAAGATCCACTCTGATTCTGGATGGCCTACCTCTGTCACCACTTGTGCAAAATTGTATAGTTGACAGTTTCTTGTTGAGGCCCAGTTATTCTCAAGCCAAGAAAGGGCAAGTTCTTTGAAGGAGGTTGTTTTTTTACATGACTGCTTTTATAGTTTTCTGTTTTCAATGACCCTTATTAATAATAAAGAAGCCCTTGTGGTACAGTGGTTAAAATACTCAGATGCTAACCTAATGGGTAATGGTTAAACCTACCAACCTCTCCAAGGGAGAAAGATGTTGCAGCCCGCTTTACAGACTTGAAAACCCTATGGGTCAATTCTACTGTGACCTACAGGATTGCTAGCAGTTAGGACTGACTTGATGGCAGTGGGTGTTTTTGGGATGTGTGTTTGTGTGTGTGTAACATGTATAAGGTGTCCAATTTCAAAAAGTAACAATAATTTTGCAATTTGAAAATACAGAGTAAAAGGTAAAAAATCAACCAGGATCCTCATATCCATATATCACAATTGTAACCATGTCTGTGCTACTCCCTGTAATGTGCTTGGTTGCATGATGCCTTTGGTCACTAGGAAATTGGTATTTTGCCTTCACTTCTGCAAAAAGACCTGACAAATTTGCCTTGTATGTTCATTTGAAAAGTATTTTGATATTCTTGCAGAGCAGCGGTTTATTGTGTAAAGCAATACCTATTTTATTTGTAGAATGTTATCAAGTTCTTGCCTACTTTCAGACCTAAATCAAGTCACTTTTACATTTCTCTCTCTTTTAATTCTGTCACTTTTTGGGTACCACTTCATCTCTGTGCTGGAAAGAACTGAAGGAATCACACGGCTAAGTGTAAATGGAGACAGAAAATGAGAAGGAAGAGTAGGAAAGGATGGCATGTAAAAGCTCGGGGTTCATTCAGGTCTATCTGGCAGCTCCTGTGCTCTGTAATCTGCAGACTTGCTTGAGTCCATGCACATCACTGAGGCTTTCTGAGTTTTTTTCCTCCACATTTGCAGAGTTAGTGGGGTTGTTAGAGAAGGGAGGCTCACTAGATCATCTCTAAGTGCCCATCCCTTTTTATCACTCTGCATAAGAGGTGGGCAAAGGATGCCAGCTGACTAAATCTGACTGGCCACCTGTTTTGTCTTCCGGTAGCAATGGCTTTTATGCTTTTAAATGGTTGAAAAGAAAATCCAAAGAGTACTGTTTATGACATGTGAAAATCACACTAAATACAAAAAAATTTCCTATGATTTTGCAGAAAATTTCTTGGAACACAGCCATATCATATATTATATTAGCTGGTTTCATGCCAAGAGGGCAGAGTTGAATGATTGCCACAGAGGTCTTATATCTTATGACCTACAAAGCCAAACATATTTACTATCTGGACTTTTACAGAATAAGTTTCCCTAACCCTGCTCTATGCATATTTAATATGCTTGTATATTTTGGCCTGGTTCATCTTTTTTATATGAGATGTACTCATTAGGTTATTTTCAGTGTTATTATTATCAAGCATACTCCCAAAACTGTTCAGTTTCCTTTGAGGAAGGGCCTTACTGTATTTTGTTCCCCAATATCCCCCTCCCCTGCCTTATACAAGGATATGTTAAAAAAAAAAAAAGGTATTGTTATTAGGCTTCATACTGTTTAAGCATGTCTGTTACTAGTAGATGGCTGCAGACAAGTTGTCTCAGTAATACTCATTTTCCTTTCAGTAGGGTCCCTTCAAAAAGAAAGGCCCTATTACAACAGTGGTTTCTGAGAGGATCTGCTGGGCCAGGTAAGTTCAAGACAGAGAAACTGGCTCATAAGGTCATGTGACAGTTTGTAATTCCAAAGGGGCCATCTTGAAGGATTTTATTTAAGGACAAAGGACAATCACCGGGGCTTATTGTAACGATGATTTAAGAAAACTGATAACTGCATTTGTGAGAAAAAGGCCAAGAACTTTGCACCAAATAATTTTTTTAAGTCAATACAATGCACCTGCTCATTCTTTGAGGCTATCAAGAGCTGTCAAGTCCTATGAGCATTTCATTGGGAAACTTTATACCATCCATCTTACAGGCCAGCTCTTTAGAATCATTTTTTGTTACCCAAATTCAAAGAACGTTTAAAAGTAGTAACAATTTGAGAACCAGAGGATGTCAAACTGCCATTTGGATATGGAGTAAAATGGAAGAGAACAGAATTTGGGGAGGGAAAGGTTAGAGATGGAAACACAGCCTTCAGATATGTATAGACCTAGATGGTGGATATGTTGAGAAACAATAGCTTCACATTTTGATATTTTTGTTTAATAAAGGTTTCTATGACTTTGTATCAAGATTTTTTGACTTACAGTGGTACAATGCTGATTATACATTGTTGAATAAACATGTAACTCCGGTACCAAGTCAATGATTTCAAAACTCCACAAGGAATTTCTCAGTTAAGCTAGTTCAGACGAAGTTGCCTCTTTCAGTAATTTCCAGTACTGAAAAAAAAAATTTTTTTTTAATTCGTTTTTCCTGGGGCGGGGGAAGGGGAAAACCTCTGCATTTTAGAAATGCTACGAAAATAGAATTAAATTACACAAAACACTACCAGAATTGTTTTACTTCGGAAATAATGTATATTTTAAAAACACTGGTAAAACGGAGATGGCCTCAGCCTTTCACATCCGTACGCCACGTTTTAAAAATGACGATTATTGGAATCCAAGACATGGTTGTCACGAACATTCTACGTAATGTAAGTAAATTACAAGCGTGAGTAGCGATCAAAATGGGTGTTAAGGAAAAAAAAAGTAAAAATGTACATCTGTGCAGTGTGTCGACTGTATTGCACGTTGTGTTGCAGATTTACTATAGCTGAGTCACTTCGGGACACAAGTGTGTTTCCAGGAAAAACAAGAGGAAGGAACCAGGATGAGGGGCTCTCCGGGTTCCCCTAGGCAGCCCCAGCAGCAAACGCCGATAAACCGAGGCGGGAGGCGGCGTGGTCAAAAAGGCGCCGCGGCCCCTTTAAAAGGCACAGCACCTTCTTCAAGATACCATCTTGCACCAGGAGTTCACTTGCGCTCTCCACCTACCTCGCTATATCCCTCCTCCTTAACTGGGTACGGCGAGCCGGCGGGGCGAGCGAGTCTTTTTATTGGCTGTAAGCACACAGACCTCTCAAATCTATTGGTTCACGTGCTCGCCAGTAGACGCCACTTCCCGCCCACCTGAGCCAATCGCGTTAGGTTGAGTGAGGGCTCTCGGGTTAGTTCCTGTTAGGCCCGGGCCGGGGGAGTAGGTTGAAGTCGCCTAAGATGCCCGGTGGTCTAGGGCAAGGGGAACCGTGAGGTGGACGTGAGGAAGCAACGTGGAGAAACCCACGGCAGGCCTGAAGAAGAGCGGCGGCCGAGCCCGCCCTCCCTGCACCATGCTCATAGAAGATGTGGATGCCCTCAAGTCCTGGCTGGCCAAGTTACTAGAGCCGATGTGAGTGAGGCAGGCTGGGCCGGCGCCGGCGAACGTGGGCGTTGGGGGCCCGCGGGGGCGTGGGGGGAGGGGAGGCGGCGGGGACTCGGGGGGCCGCGGTCCGGAGGTCCTGACGACGTCTTCTCGAGTACTAGCACCATTGTGGGGGGGAGGGGCAGGGAGCGGGGCGTCGAGGCGGTGTGGCTGGGGGACGGAGCGGGCAGGGATAGCGAGGGCTTTTTAAATAACAAATGTTAGGGCGCTGGAAAGGATGGCGTGGAGAGTGAGAATTTGAAATGTTACTGTTGGAGAACGGAGAGGGCTGGATAGTAAGGCTCTTGAGGGATTTTTTTTACCTGGCATGATTGGAATCTTGAAGGGAATAGCAGGATATTGGGGGTTTTACAAACAGTTTTAATCGGGGTTAAAAAGACTGGAAGCGGAGTATCATAGACTTTAATTAAAAAAGCAAAAACAGACCAGGAAGGAATAGCAGGGGCAGCGAGGGCTATATAGTGATAATTGGTGCACTTTAAGGATTCAAGAATATTTTATAATTTCGAGGAAGTTCAAAGGTTTATGTGGCCATTGAAGGGTTCTAGAAATTACTGGGGCGTTGATATGTATGCTAGCAAGGATACTAGGGTTTTGTAAAGTATCACCGAAGACTGCTAGGAGAACTGAGAACTTTGTAAATCTTTTTGGGGACTGGGAAAGAATATTGAGGTTTTATAAGTTTAATTGAAGCCCAAAGAGCCTATCCCGGTATCTAATATTGTTGGGTGAGGGGCTGAAAGAGGTATGCTGGCAGAGTGTAGGGAATTTTCGCTACAGATTTGGGAGGAATAAAAGCAGGAGGAATAAAGGCTTTGCAAGTATTCAAAGATTACAAGGACAACCGAAAGAGCAGGGGTGTAGGGTTATTATTGAGGGGCTGAAAAGGATGAATAGGTCTTGTTCTTGTAAATATTATTGGTAGGGGTAGATGTAGAGATTTCATTGGGAGGCTTGAAAAAGATAACTTTTTGTCGTATAACCATTTCTAGGATTAGGCTTATGGAGTATTTATTTAGGGGGAATGGGCTATAACCAGTTATAGCATAATTCACCTAGGTGGAAGGAGAGGAAAGATTGGAAAGCTCAGAGTCCCATATCTTTAATCCCCTGGGGGAAAGGACACACATGTGGACAGGGAAAGGTTCATTTCCTGCATACATACCTTCCTTGAAGGTTGATTGGGGGGGGGGAGGAGGGAAAGAGGGGATAGAGAGGTGGGCAGCTCAGATCCCTTTACTGGAAGAGTGGAGTGTTTATGAGAACTGAAAGGAAGGAGGAGTGGTAGTTTAGGAGATAATGGAACCATGGTAAAGTTGGGGCTGTTGAGGTTTTGAGGGTTTTTTTTCTACTTTGGTTTCTTGGCATGTATGGTAGGAAGAGTCATGGGCAGTCCAGTGTATTAGCCCTTTTGAAGGCAGGATAGGTAAGGGAGGTAGTCTACTTTCGAGGAAGTGGCTTTTACATTCTGAGGATGAGTGTGTGTGTAGAGCACCAGTTCTCAACCTGTGTGTGGGTAGTGACCCCTTTGGGGGTTGAGCGACCCTTTCACAGGGTCACCCGATTCATAACAGTAGCAAAATTACAGTTATGAAGTAGCAACAAAAATAATTTTATGGTTGGGGGGGGGTCACCACAACGTGAGGAACTGTATTAAAGGGTCATGGCATTAGGAAGGTTGAGAACCACTGGTGTAGAGCATACATAAATGCTCACCAAGGGCTTCTGAGCTTTAGATTAGCAAAGGTCTAGTTAAAGAGAAAATGACTCTGGATACACTTGAAAATTTTGTGGAAGTTATATGGGCCTCTTGAATGTTCATCTTAATTATTAGGAGGAAATTTTGAGACATGAAATGATAAACATGGATTCTGAAGAAGATGGGAGATAATGCCATAGATTTTGTGAAATTGAGCAAAGACCAGGAAGGCCGAAAAAGTAAAAAGAATCCGTGTTGTTGTGGTTTTTAAAGTTTCTTTACTCTTAAATTATTTAAGATTAAAAAAATAAATCTATTTTGTATACTTGCTATTCCCGTGGTTTTGACATCTTGCAGTTGCAAACTGATTTTCTTTATCAGAAGAGATATTTTTAAATGTATTAAAGGTATGTTTTATGTCTTGGTTAGAAGATAACTTTCAACATTATTATAGTTTGCCCTCTTTTTGCACTTCCTAAATGTCTTCTTCTAGTTGGGTACCTTTTTAATGTTCAAATTTACATAGACAGGAACTAAAAAATTGTTAAGTATGCTTTCTTTTGGCATTTTTGGCTAATTAGACTGATAAATATTCACAAACATTCTGTAATATTCATGGGTTAAAATTAAGAGTTCAGAAGATTACTTGAATTGTGTTTCTTCATTTATCTTTGAGTTTTATGCTTAACGTACAGCACATGTCATGCTTCTTTTCTGTTTATTTTTTTGCTACTGTATTAGGGTTTGTTTTTTTTTTTAGAAGACAAATTACTTAGTGTTCAAGAATGTAATGGCTTTAGACAGGCTATTAATAAGATCTAATAAATGCAAATGCAGAGATAAAATACTTTCATTCTTAGTATGTTGTCATAGGGCATTATTTCTCGTTTAGACATTCTAATTATAATATATGATATGCTAAAGTGGGCTACATTTGTAAATTTTGTTTTTGCATATTCCAGATTCAAGAAAATTTTCACAGCAGATTGGCATGTTATTGCAACATAGCATTTCAGAACAGTTGCTAGATCTTCAGATAATGTAGTTATAGTGGCTATGTTAGAAATATATTGACTGTACACAACTATCCTTGGCACTTTCTCATTTAACTTAATTTACAAATACCAAAATATACAAATCCTCTAGTATTTAGGGGTTTTGAAAGGTGTTGCATCTTGCACTGGTGACACAAAGGCATGTAGCAACAGTTAGGAGTTGTTTATAAACTAAACATGTTTACTTGACATTGTTTCTCTATGATTTCAAGTTAGACATGACATGAGATATTAGAGCTTCCACTCTCTTTACAGATGTGGAGGGAGATCTTTACCAGAAGAAAGATAGAAGGAGAGAGAGACTGGGAGAAATGACTCACTGGCAAGGAAAAACTCAGTACTACCGTTTTTTGTTGGTAGTGTAATAAAAGAGGGAAAACATAATTCAGTCAAGAAGTTTCTATCTTTCTCTCCTGCTGCTTGAACAGGCTGTACTTAACAAATCTTTACCTTTCCCCTCCAATATCCTAATGATAGAGACTGTATAGGCATAAACCAAACTTACTGCTATTGAGAGTCACTTGTGATTCATAAGGTCCTTACAGAGTAGAAGTGCACCTTACGGTTTCCAACACTGTAAATCTTTATAAAAGCAGACTGTTTGATCTTTCTTCCAAGGAGCAGCTAGTGGGCTCAAACCACTGACCTTTTGGTTAACAGCTCAATGGTTAACCCACAGCACCAGCCAGGACTGCTTGTTTTCGTGAAAGCACGGTATGTTTTTAACAAATTGACGATTTGTGGCAGCCCCTCATTGAGCAAGCACATCTGTCGGTGCCATTTTTCCAACAGCATGTGCTCACGTCATGCCTTTGTGTTACAGTTTGGCAACTCTCACAGTGTTTCAAACTTTTTCATAATATTGTACACTGAGTGGACTGCAGTATTTGTGTGGTATAAACATAACTTTTATATGCACTGGGAAACAAAAACATTCCTGATTTAGTTCTTTGTGATAGTTGCTTTATTGTGGTGGGCTGAAACTAAACCCACAGTATCTCCATAGTATGCCTGGTTAGAGAGTATGAGAGGGGTTACCCCCCAAAAAACCAGAATTATGCTGGGCAGAGTGGAGCATTTGTAGTATGCGTTTTTTACCCAGTGGGCTAGCATCAAGCAACTCTTAGTGCACCCAGTGGTGTCCTCTGGGAAGGTTCTCTCTGATCATAGTGAATTTTTTTGTAAAAGCAGTTTTGCTTGAACCGTATTTTTTGCGATGGCTTATTATTTGTTTTTGCTGGGTTTTCTTTTTTTTTTTT